ATGTGCTGCAGCTGTTTCCTGACAGACTGGAAGAAAGGCATGGAGCAAACGTTTTCCTGTGGGAACAGGGAAGGGTCATCAAGCTTTGGGTAATATTTGTGTCCAGAGCAGAGCCAGTCATCTGGAATACCCCTTTCTTGAACACTCAGAAAATGAGTTTTACTGCCCGGGACCCAAGGAAAACCTATTTTTTTTTTCTTCCCAGCTGCTACCTGTTGCCTCCACAAAGTCTGACAAATCACTTTCCTGTTTTAACCTCAATTCCATGCACAGGCAAATCAATACAAAACAAAGCCCATTTTCATAGGGCTTACTGAGAGATTAAAACTACAGCACATACATAAATATAATAATAACCCTCATTTTTTTTCTGCTAGGCAATAGGCTCCATGGTACTGTCCTTGTTCACACGAGCGGTCTTCTGACCTCCTGGCTGTATGCCAGGGAAGACTAATGTGCTTTTCACTTCTGAGGAGGTGAAGTTCATCTGCTAGGTGCCAAAGCAGACCTTGCTTTGCGCTATTAATTCCAGAACATAAACCGCAATGAATTGCATCGCTGCAGGCTTTTAGGCGTTACACAAGCTGTTGTGTCCGGCGCAGACTCTAGCTCCGGCTTCGCCCAAGAAATAAAGCCAAGATAAGGACACAGGTAGGGAATGCAAATCACCTGTATAACCTGAGCAGCAAGCTCAGGTGTCCCGTGCTTCAAGTCATGTCCATTGATGGCAAGTACGCGGTCGTTGCTGCAGAGCCTGCCGTCTTGAGCAGCCAACCCCCCTTCCAAAAGGTCAAGGATGAAAACTCCCGGCTCATCTGTTCTGCGTACAAGTTTGATGCCAAGCTGCTCGCTGGAGTCGCGTTTATGCAGCGTCACTTGAAAGCTGTCTTCCCGCAAGGAGCTGGTGGTGTCCGCGTGGTTGTGCGTGCGGCTGCCGAACCGCCTCTCTCTCAGCACGGTGAGGTGCAGCACCGAGCAAGGCTGGGAAAGCACAGCTCGAGCGTGGTTGTGAGACACGTTGCTTATGTCAAAGCTATTGACCTGCAAAACAACAGCAACAAAAAAAAAAATCAGAATTATATTTTCACTTGTTTAATTGTTCCTGGTTATGGAAATAAAGTCCTTTCCAAGCTAAATACAGAGCTCACTGCAAAACTAACCTTGGAGCAACCTATGTATCTGACCCTAACAGGATCTTGTTCTTCCATCCTCTCCTGCAAACCCACTTTGGCTGCTCAATCTACAAACCTATTTTTAGGTTTAAAAGACCCTTAAGATCATCAAGTCCAACCATTAACCTAACACTGCCATTCCGCCACTAAACCATAGCCCTAAGCACCTCATCTACCCAGCGTTTAAATACCTCCAGGCGTGGGGACTCCACCACTTCTCTGGGCAGCCCGTTCCAATGCTTGACAACCCTGTCAGTGAAGAAATTTTTCCTCATATCCAATCTAAACCTCCCCTGGCGCAACTTGAGGGCTTTTCCCACAAAGGGGACAACATCTCTGTAACAATGAACGCCCTCTGCCATCACAGCCCAGGGTTTTTGTTCTCCTGGTCTCCTACACTTGTCTTCCTTAGATCTTTACGTTGTTTGTTCTCCAAGAACTTTGCATGTGCTTTCGGTGCCAAGCCCAGTATCACTTAAAACTATAAAATAATAGCTATAAAAAGAACACATCCAAATCTCTGAAGAAAGCTTATGTCTCACAATATGCAGCACTTCCATGATGTGTAAAATTATATAAACCCCTTGAAATCCAGAATAATGAAATCTGATCATTAAGACAGTAGAAAAAAAAGTGGTTATACTAGTTCTCAAGTCTTAGTATGAACTTAAGAGATTTTCCACCAACTCTAACAAGGCCAGAACTTCAGACTTACAAACTGTATCACTCAAAATTCAGTTGTAAATGAAAAACAGATTGAACTTTCCCTCCCTATAAACAAGAATTGTGTCTGTTATGTGGCCCACTAATACAAAGATCAGTAATCTTCAGTCATTTCTTGCACTATAAAGTTAGGATAAAAATTGACAGTGCAATGAGATTTGGCAGAAAACAGGAGCACCACAAAAGACAGCACAAAGGCTGTATTTGCCTTGTTCTGTACAAAGGGGTTCAAGGTTAACACTAAAACTTCACACTTAGCACATACTATTGTGCCCTGATGGAGAAATCCCTGCTCCATAATTTCAGCAGATAGAAGCTAGCACCAAATGGACTATACTGAGCTGCCTTACCCAAGCCTTTTAATGGTCCCCATTGCAACCTAAGCAAGTAAAAATATAAACTTGCAGCTTCCCGCCATCTAATAGCAATATTAATACTTAAAAAAAATAGGAAGAGAAAGGACCCAGAAATCTGTGTACGACAGCTGTCACATTTACATCGTGCCGTCCGAGTTAGGAGCTCTGAGAGGTCAATGCCAAACAATTTGGATGTGTTGGCTTCAGCATGGCGAAGGGGTAGCCGTACCCACTGGTACCCAGCCCTGCTCCAGCAGCGAAGCAGGAGGTAGCCTTCCCCTTGCCACCTCCATCCTCCAGCCCAACGCCCAGCACAAAGCCATCGTTCCCGGTAGCACCAGAAGCTCAGACACCAAACCATGGCTGTGTTCTGGTCTGCCACTGCCCCGAGACAGGCTGTAACCTTGGGCAGAGGGAAAGGAGGCATAGCTAGGAGAAATAACATTTAGAGCTGCCACCAGCAAAACCCAGGAGGGCTCATCCGTCAGAGCCCTTAAATTAAATCTAGTTTTATTTTTAGCTGTCGCTAGCTAAAGTAAATACATAAAATATGGAAGCATTCAAAGGGCACAGAAGAATATATGCAGTAAAATGTAATTCTTCTTTCTACAAGGCAGTTCACAGTTTCAGAATAAAACAGCCTTAGCATTTCTTGGGGAAAGAAATTCTCATTAGGACATGTTTTACATGAATTACAGTCACAGTCCAACACAAAAAAGGGACAATTTGTAGAGCACTTTGAAAGTGTTAGGCACCTATCTATACCTTGCAGACAACATACGCTTTTATGTAGCTGTTACTAAACGCTGTTCCCTCAGATCTTGAAAGGGTAATACTTCTTGTCTGACTGGGCAAGAAAATGCTGAGTTTCACCTCACAGTCCTTTCTGTCTTTCTTTTAGTCCTTTGCTGCTCACAAAAGCCTTTGAAGGCATTTTCAGCAATATCCGACTGAAGCGTGCACCCTGAGCTGCATCTAACTCTGCACTTAATTACAGCCAGCAGAGACCAAGCCTGGTCATTTTAATACAATACTCAGCACCTGCACAGGTGAATTGAAAGCAATAAAGATACTGTACCTTCCAAAAAGTTTGGCTTTTACCTCCCATACCTCTCCCTCGGCATGACAGAAGGACTCTGATGGACAGCCCCCTGGCATCTGACAGCCCCAGTGCCAGCACATTGATAGGGACGACTCACTGCAGCTTACAAACCCTATTTACAGTTAATCTATAGCCGCTTACAGCTTTGGAAACTATAATTGACACCTGCCCAAACAGCAAGGATTTCCAAAGCTACACTGGAGCTCAAGCTCCCTATTCTGGCAACCAAGGAGAGCCCTTGAGTGTTAAAATAAATTAGGCAGCATTCAATCAGTGTCTGCAACTGCTCATTAAAAAGGCAACATTTTGGAAGCCTCTTGGGTTACTTTCTTGGCCAGCCACTATCCTAACACTCCAAGAGAGGAAAAAGGCACGTTTCTCTATTTTCTGAAGTGCAAACTAATTTTATTCCAAGGGTAACGACAGTATTTAAGCTACTTCTATTGGCTTGATTTCAAAGAAGTGACATGAAAAAGGCGGGTGCTAATTTTGGACTGAGCTTAGGTTATCGGATCGAAAGCAAACATTGTTACTTGAAGCCACTGTTACTGCTTAGGGCCATGGTTTAGTGGTGGGATGGCAGGGTTAGGTTAACAGTTGCAATTGATGATCTTAAAGGTCTTTTCCAGCCTGAATGATTCTACGATTTCGAAATGATGGTAATATATTTGTTTCACGTGAAATGATTAAAAATAGAAAAAAGCTGAAGGACTGTCTTGTTTATGTAGAACACTGTTAGCGCCACTCCTAAGAGTCCTATAAACAACCCCTTCCCCTAAAAGACAATTAAAACTCCAAAATTAATAGAATTTGATCTTTTTACACTATGGTTAACTACTTAAAACCGTAACAAAAATACATACTCTGTCATAACCAAATTAAACTTTAATTGTTTTTTTTACTTTTTTGCAAAAAATATTTAGAGCACCTTGCTTCAAATCATGCCAGTAAAGAATATCACTGTCTCTTTTACACATACTGAAAGATGCAGGTCAGCTGCCTAGGCTATTGGAAGGTAACAGTGAAGCCAGATTAAAATAACTGTTTAGATTAAGTCAGTCTTACAACCCACAAATTGCTTTTTACATAGGACAAACTATGCCAGCTTGTTAGTCAGAAGTAACCTTGAGTTCCTTTGGAAAGTGTGCATAAAGCTGAAATAAAGACCAAGTCCCACAACATTTAAAAACAGAAAAATAAACTGATGTTTTGAACATTGATAGGAGATGCTAAGGAGGAAAAATAATTCCAGGGACTGGTCCAAGAAACAACATAAAGCTTGATAGCCAAAAGTGCTAGAACAACAGGTTTTGCTCTGAATATTAATTTGCCTTCCAACTGATAATTGCAAAGCTAAAGATTACACAACAGGCAGTCCTGCAAGGAGTGAACAGAAAGCAAGCAGGCAGAATACATAATTAGGTTCCATACTTGAAGTATTTGGTCTCCAGCAAGAAGTCTTCCATCTCTGGCAATGATCCCATCTCGATAAACCTCCTGAATGACAATGTTGATCAAAGGCGTTTCATTGCCACCCACTATGCTAATTCCTAATTCGATATAAGGATTGGACCGATGAATTTCAATAGTAGTGATCTCTCCTTCAGGCAAGGTAGGTGGCTGTTGATTTGCTGCCAATTATTTTTAAAAAGAAAGATGATTAATATCCTTTATACATCATTCACTTTCAATAAAGCAAATCACCAAAGGACAATGTAGACAGGCCACATGACAACGCTTTAGCAACAAGCTAAACAAGTGCAGTTGGATTAGTTCCACTACTTGTTGGAACATCTAGCTCGTTAGAAACAGCTCTCTAATGACTTAGTAGCATCCATGCTTCCCGAAATGGTGTCATTCGAATTGGGAAAGGGTATTCTGAACCCTTTGGATCCTGTCCTTTATAATATATTTCATACATTTATTTTCCAATTGGGTCACTTCTGTATTCACATTTGGTGATAATGACAAAAATGTGATTTAGGGGTTACCCCACAGCGCATGACTTGGCCGTGCCTCTTCATCATCTGGTCTCACAACTGCACTAGTAGCTGCTATTGAGTTAGCGGGTCAAGAGAAGGAGCCCATTTCTGAAGCAAACATGGAAACGACTAAAGAGGAAAAAGGAGGACGCTAAAGGATGGCAAATAGAAAGGAGAAGGAAGGGGACAGGACCACCTTCCTCTGTGGTAAGGCTCAGCACTTCCTCTCTAAAATCCCAGATGCTAGAGACGTTACTGCTCATTCGGTGCAGATGGATGCAGGAGTTAGCTGCCTTTCTGCTCGAGCAGGACAGCGTTCTGTGTGTGGGAAGGCTGCTGATCTGGGCAGGGGGGGAAAAAGGAAAGAGGGGAAAAGAAATCTCATCTTAGAAAACAACTTTTGTAATTTTACAGAAAATACACTCATTCTGACTCGCTGCGAGGCCAGTGCTACTAGTAGATTAACATGAACTACTGCACCATGATATGATAAATGATGATACAGCACGGTGAGATCTGGCACACGCTCTGAGACACTTCTTTCCTTCCTAACTCTGACCTTATCTCAGTCGTATACTTGCACATAAACCGAAACCCACTAATATTTCTCCAATAATTGCAACAGAAAAGAGTAGAAGCTGAAGATGTGCATTCACGGTCGGTAAGAGACAAGCTCTGACACCACGAATGTTTCCACATCTGATAAAAGAGACTTGAGAAGATAAGTGATGACATACTGTCTGCTACCGTGTTCTCCTCAAAAGGCGGATTGTCGATGCTGGGCTCGTCTGTCCAGGCGGGAAGGGTGGGCGAGGTGAAGCTCTGCTCGCCTGGCACTATTCCCTGATCTGCATCCGGAGATAAACTGCTAGGCTGCTCCGTCCCAGCAGGACCACTCTCACCCTCTGCTTCTGCTTGCAGTTTGCTCGTTTTCCTTCTCTCCAGAGCAACCCTCCGATGAGAAGCCCCAGGACACCTGTGAAGACAACATTTATACCATGCTTCAAGCCTGCAGCAATGTTTGTAGCACAAAATGCCCGAGTACTCCAGCAAACGAGATCAGTCTTCCTCAAAGCCACAGTTTTAAATGAATCATAAAAAATTTTAAAGACATTGGATTTTAAGGCCAAAACGTGTTTTTTTGGTCATGAACTAAATGTACTGTAACACCTTCTGAACGTGGGCTTACTCTATTATGTACATTCCAGACTCTGGAAGATGACCTTGCCGGAAAGATTAAACAGGACTGGCATAAGATTCCACAGAAGAGAAGCCCCATTCTAAGATACATTTGGAGACCCACCAAAGCAATCTCCTTTCACCTTAGTAAGCCAAGAGAAGGAAGCATGATATTTTCCTGGGGTCATTTGGGGGAGGGAAGAGACAAAAATTTTACCTATATTGCAATCTAAGTGTTAAAATACTAACGTGTTTTTTTGGTCATGAACTAAATGTACTGTAACACCTTCTGAACGTGGGCTTACTCTATTATGTACATTCCAGACTCTGGAAGATGACCTTGCCGGAAAGATTAAACAGGACTGGCATAAGATTCCACAGAAGAGAAGCCCCATTCTAAGATACATTTGGAGACCCACCAAAGCAATCTCCTTTCACCTTAGTAAGCCAAGAGAAGGAAGCATGATATTTTCCTGGGGTCATTTGGGGGAGGGAAAAAAAAAAAAAAAAAAGCTTGTCTAGGAGTTTGTATGAAAATTTTAGCAAAAGTGACAGCTCTGATCATCATCTCCTCCTGAATCAGTAGAAGGTGTTTCATCCTCCTCCTGTCTCCCTTTTTTCTTCCTGACTTCACACAGGAGATGCAATATTTGGCTTTCCCTCATGCAACAATGCTCCATCAGCATATGGCACTTTTCACTATAAACTCATTTTTGTGAGTTCCCATTACTCTCAAGGCAATAATTTTTTTGCTTGTTTAAAATCCTACAATAGTTTATTGCAAAGAAGGGCTGCAACGTTGCAAATTTGTGAAAAGCCTTCATTTATTGAATGGTCTTACTTTTATGTGTAGATAATTGGACGTGGACATCAATTTTACGTCTGCCTGTGTGACAGTTTTGCCAGTGTCTGATATGTCACTTCTTACAGCCTTTGATGTCCTGCTTAATGTTCCTGCTTATGGAGGTGCTGACCACCTAAAGATGCTCATACTGTAGCAGTGTCAGAAAAAAGGAACGATGTTCTTGAAAGGACTCCCTGTTTGGGAACTTGACAGATTGTTATAACAAAAGAGGAAATGATTTATTTTTGTAACAGGAGAAGAAATGTGTTAACAGAGTAAAAGACAGCAGAAGTCTAATGATGTCCTAACTTGTTAAACCAGAATGTTTTGAGAATCACAATTCTCTTCTGACATTCTGTGAAGGAGATTTGGTAATTATATAGGTAGACCATTTTGGCATGAAGGATTTTGAAGAAATGTTAACAAAGTTATTCAGCTCCAAAGAGTGTTGATAAAGACACCTGTATAGCTTTTGTGACCCCCAGCAGTGTTACACATACATAGAGTGATATATAGCTCTTTCTCAATCATTTTATATATAAAGGCATGATATACATGTTTAGAAGAACAGCATAAGGTAAGCCAAATGTGCTGTGAAATATGCATAAATACATAAATTAGAGACAGTTCACATTATGAAACAACACATTTAAGAAACCATTTCTTGGGGCTTTCCCCAAGGTGTCTGCTGGTCATCTTGTTCTTCAAAGTTAAGAAAGCGCAAGCACAAAAGATGAAAATTACTTGAAAGGTTTTGCTTTGTGAAAATTTTTCTCTGATTTTAATGATGGAACACAACCCTACTTCTTGGTTTTGCCCAGGTAATATTTACTAGATAAAATCATTGGCATAGTGGGACTGATCAGCTAAGAAATCTGGCCAGT